CGCTCGGCGGAGGCACGACGCTGGACCAGAACGCCAGTCTGGCTGCGGCCGCGCTGCGCGGGCCCCCGCGCCGCATATACACACCGGTCTTGCTGGTCGACCTCGCGACGCCGGACTTCAGCATGCCGTACAACGTGATCATTATGAGCTGCACGCTCATCGCGCTGCTCTTCGGGAGCGTGTTCAATCTCCTGACGCGCAAGTTCGTGGTCGTGCGCATTGCGGGCGGGGCGACGTCAGATCTAACGTAGTGGTACTTCTCGCGATCCTAATGCGAAGGGCTTGGCATGTTCCTGCGCGGGCGTCGCTGAGATCGTCATCCTGCACGAAAACAGCAAACGGGGTGGCGAAAGCTGGTACCACACTCCGATCACGCAACGCGGTGTTGCTTGGTGCCAGCGGTTACCAAATATGCAGCGGACGTGTAGCGTGCAGTCGTGCCTTGGGCCCGGGTTAGTCTCTGCGCTGACGAGCCTCCCTCAGCCACCGGAGATTTCGAGCAGGGGCGGAAGTAGAAGCCGCCGAGGCCTCGGAATTATGTTTTGAGGTGAGTGTCCGATGATGTTGTCGGGCTGAAAATACATACTGAAATGCAAGTGTCAGACTGCGTTGCCGAGATAAGAATGACATTAATTGCAGGCCGACCCGACGGCCCTCCGAGAGTGAAGTGTTCTGCCGGTGTGACGGCGCGGCGTCAGTCCTGCGCAACGAACGCACTCGAATCTGCTTCCGAGGCAGCGATTCAGAGATTTGGCGGCAGCGGACGTGCAGCTCCCATCAAACCCTGAGTAGGAGGCGCGAAGGCATCACGCACGGTCCACCCCCACCCCGCCGCGACTGCCATGCAGCCTGCAAGGTCCGTGGCCTATCGATCTGGGACACATCGATGGGCATCGAATGCCAATCGGGACGCCGATCGATGAGTTGACGGTAGCGGTGGCGTCGCTGTTTTTGAGCCGACCGAGGTGTGGATATGCCTTCAACCTGGCAAGCTGCAAGGTCTCAGGTAGATCCGACTGCAGCATACGTATCTGCCGACTTCCAAGAATGTGCTCTGAGTGAAATCGATGGCCCGGCGCACCAGAACCCTGCAAACGGTATGGGATCGTGGCGCAGCGCCTTCACGAGTTTGATGCAGTTACTGTGCGCTGTGTGAGTACGCCGAGAACAAGTAGAGACCTAACTGAAACGGCAAGGCGGGACACCATCCGATTCGAGGATTCAGGCACTCTCGGGCTTTCTGCCAATGTCCGCTTGTAGCTGGCCATCCGGAGTCATCGTATTCCCATGCAAGGAGGTACGTGACAAAGCAGGAGCCCGATATGATAGAAAATTTCTGATAGTCCACGAGAACCACTGCCAATTACATGGATAAGCCTCCCGCTCACGAGCTGCCAGTACTTGCCGGCACGTCTGCTGCGTCTCGGAAGCGGAGATGGAAAGGGCAAGGATTTCCACCGGATATGTCATGGCTGTGAACGTGTGGTATGAGCCAAGTATAACGCGAGCTTGAGCCAGCCACGCAATGAATTCCGACGAATGGCACCGTGCGTCTGCGTGGAGAATAGCTAGGCCACGATGGTGGACGTGCTCGCGCCTTCTGCGACTCCGACGGCCGTGCCGAGATATATCTGTGAGTGGCACAAGATGATAAAGAAATAGTGAGATCTATCACATGTAGGCGTCTGCGAAGCCAGGTCTCTTGTCCTCGGACGTGCAACACAGCCAGCGAGCGGCTTGCGGATGTGACGACGTATCTCACGATGTTCCTCAGATCAATGTGCTTCGCGCATCCATATACCGCTTTCGTGCTTCTGATACACTGTGGGCATATCAGAGCCAGCGCTTCTTCCGAAGCCGTCTTCGCATAAAAAGACAACGGACGAGTCACTTCGAACGTTCCTCCTCTTGCCCCACATCCCTCCAGATCCTCTGCTCTGCGCGGATATATCTCTTCTGCTGCGTACCCCCCGTGACATCTCGGACACGGACGATCCAGTGGCACATATACCCGCACACTCAAAGCGTTCCACCGAACACTTTCCAAACCGTACCATTGCACCATGTGTCGCCGAATCGCGTGAGTCATCTCGCGTTGTGCGCGACATTCATTCACTGACCAGCGCCGCTCGCAGCGAGGGAACACGGTGGTCAAAGTGCGGGGTAATAACTTTCCGCCCAGTCAATCTCCGCAGGTCAGCTGAACGGACGGACTGAATGCTTACAGCATTTCCAACGCCACCTGGTCGTCGCCATCATGGACTGCAACTCCAGCCACTGCGAACGCAGCATACTCCACCCAAAATCCTGTCGAGATCCCGGCTGCATCAAGGTAAGCGGGCGGACGTCCGATCACGGCCCTGACTACGCATTCACCTCGATTGATCGCCCAGAACTACGGGCCCGATGTGCAGAAGGACGTCGACACGGTGAATGACGAGTGCTTCCAGTGTCGTGCTGCCGCCGCACGGAGGCCGCCATCATGAAAGGAAAGCGCCGCACCGCTACGACTCGTCCTCGTCCTCGTTTCTTGTTCCCCTGTCCCGTCATGTTTTCTTGCTAGTTCGAGCACGCACGACTCGTCTAATCCGCATGCCCGCGTACCGTATTCGCCATGATCTGCACGCCTGTGGTCATAATAGCAATATTAGCATCCCGTTACCGGCCGGATGTTCTCGAATTCGATCGCCGCGTGCCGTGTCAGCTGAGCACGCTGCGATCGTGCCGTGCGCGCGCGACGTCATTGGGGCAAGATCTAGCACCCCCGCATCAGCGCATCCCACCACACGGCGCGCCTGGAGACCGCGACGCACCCTAATACGGCCCACGTGCGACGCGGCGTGTCTTGGTGCGAGCAGCGTTGTGGGGCCTGCAACCCGCCGCAGAACGTGGTCCACTCGTGATATGTCACAGCATTGTGGCGGCCATCCGCCGACGCCACGAGCCTTCGCCGCCATTGAAATCAAGGGGATGCCGTGCGGCCCAGTTGCATCCGGAGGCACGAGGCGTGCCCGAGGTCTGTCCCAAAGCAAGGAAGACCTGCGATCTTGTTCCTGGTGTGCCAGCTGCTGTCAGGTGAGAAAGCAGTCAATTGAGTGGTTGGCAGGATCATTGAGCGTGTCTCACATTGTACGACAGCTTCTGTTCCGCAGAAGACACCATCGGAAATTACGAAGCGTGTAGCGCTCCCAAAACCGCACACGAACATTAGGCTGAAGATGTAGCAGCCTAACTTCGTAGTAGATTCGCCCAAATGCCTGGTATTCTAGCGTCAGGACCGGAGCTTCGTGGGCCGAGGGACAGCAAGCATCGCCACTCTCATTGAACACGCAATTACCGCCACATATCGTGGAAGTCGAGCCAGGACGCTCATCGGATATAATGAAATGATTGAGCGCATTTGAGAGTAAGCAGAATGCCATTGACCCCACGGTGCTGAAGGACCATCATGGACCACCTAAACACCCCAAGTGAGACACTTGCGCCAATGAGTAATTCCAATGATTAGGGCGTCAAACGCTGCGGGGGCAATCGTGGCCAGCCTCGCATATCTGATTGAGCGTGTTGCGGGAGAACTGTCGATGATACGAGGAAGTGAGTGATTTCTCGTCAACAACAGTAGTTCAAAAGCCTTTTGACTCACCAAGCGATAAGGGCACAAACGCGAGATCACAGAACATCTTCTGACATCTGGCTACCGGAGATAGACACGACGATCAGCACAAATCGGCGACACAAGTATCCAACCACTTGGAACGTCGATATCGCGTCCAGAACTGAGGTGCATACGTCAAGATACCGCGCGCAATCCAGAAGGCAGCATACACGTCATGGTACTCAAGTGAAAACAAATCAGATCTCAGCACCAATCTGGAGCTTTGTACATCGAACTGTCGATCAGGCCCACCGTGCAGATGCATACATAGATATCAAACCTGCAGAGATTGACCGCCGCGGTGAGATAATATCTCGGTTGAAGACTTCGGCGAATGTCAACTCACTGCAAGACCGTCATGATTAATCGAGGTATTGCGCGACGCGCGGCTAGGTTGACAGAAGCCAAGAATAGAGGGATGGTTGACGAGTCCAGCGAGTGAGAGTAATGAGTTGGTCATGGAACACTACACGTATCAGCATGGTGTCGCGGAAGTCTTGCTTTGCACCCTTGCGTTGTCGGCAGCCTGCAAGCGCGAGGTTACAGCAAGGACGATAACGAGACTTGATAGCGCGCGGGTCAAGTCAACCGCTATGACTTCCATTGCAAGACGACGGAAGAAGGGGCAGATCATACGCGAATGGGACAGGACATCGTAAGCAGACTCGATACAATGACCACCGGTGATGTTTTCTAGGCCCTCCCATAGACGACCCTTGAACGTTCCCACGTTTAGTGAGGGTGGTTCTTGTGGTGCTCTGGAGTGTCAAAAATTCAGACAAACGTTCCATAAGATACGCATGTTGCTTACTGAGGTGCACTGTAGATGACGAGAGTCAGCGACCTTGAATTTAAAACGGAACAGCGAGAGTGCGTACTCTGGTAATCAATGGTGTACCCGAGAGCACAGATACCCAGGATTGTCCATATGATAGGAGCGCCAGACGCGTTCTTGCCGTTGAAGTATCTCTCCTTGATGCCGCGGATCGCAGGGGCGGGGGCAGGACCCTTGGGCAGCTTGGAGTAGAAGTTTACGAGCGGACCCAGTCCAGCTCCGGAGCCAGACGACTACCATGACACGGTCAGCAAAGTCTCCATGCTCCTTTTCCATCTCTCTCACCAGTGTAGAGGGAGTAGCAATCTTGGGCGGCACAAGACCACCGAGCTGGCGGCGGATGAGGGTGGGCTGCATGATGGTGGAACGCGACGTGGACTTGTCGCCCGACGCCTTCCGACGTTGCAAACCGCCGCTCACGTTATTTGTTCCGAGCAAACTCATCAGCCACTGTACGTAAATTCTTTACGTTGTGAAAAAATAGCTTATGCTTTGGGTATAATTACGGAATGCCCCATGGCTGAGTTGGTTACAGCGTCCGACTGTTATGGAGTGCTTAATGCCACGCTATCGGAAGGTCGAGAGTTCGAGCCTCTCTGGGGCAGAGATGTTTTTTTTCAGACGCATGCATACAAGACGGCTCAAGACGGCTCAAGAGAAAACTACTATGTATCGCTGGCCAGCTGAAGGATGTCGGCGGTGCGACCAGTTGCAAATATGTGGTACACATGTACATATATAGATCTGCGCGCTTCGTCGAATCTCAATCTTTCACCGCAATAACTGCCGTACACTTTTGACAACGCTGTGAAGCCTAAGAGCTCGCATTACAAGGCTCCTGCGGACCGGTATGTTCTACATGCCTGGCGATAGACGTGTTTGTGAGGGCTGCAATTGAGAACACCAGAATGCTGACGACACAACTTCGATATACTAGGACTAGTGATGTGCACGGCCCGGCTTGGCCTGAAAGCCGGGGCTCGGGCTCGGCTTGACGGGGCTCAGGCTCACCTGAAGTACAAGCCGGGCCGTCATGGACGGCCCAGGGCTGGCTCGGGCCCGGCTCGGCCTGAGGCCCCGGCTCGAGTGGTAGAAGCGCAGCAGCCTCTGCCTCTCCATTTCCCGTGGTGCGGCCTTCTCCTGAGGTGGGCGGTTCAGCGTAGAGCTCAAATGGTGTACCCATGATGGCGAAAGGCTCAATCTGGGAAGGATCATGATGGTTAGCGGTGCTCACACATGCGTGGGGACTTTGTTGCGGAGCGCGTGCACAAAAGCTGCAAGGGAGAGCCGCGTGTCCAGCCCCACGGCCGCCCTGCAATGCAACACCACACAGTCAGATCCTGAGTCCTGACAATGACATGCGCACACGCGGGTGCACGCACCTGTTCTGCATCTCGCTGCGCCACGTCACCTTGCGGAGCGCCGGGCCGCGGCGTGTGCAGGACCGCGCTGGCAGACGTGAGCGCAAGCACGGCGAGGGCCTCAAATGCGAGCTGGACGGGACAGGATGGGAAGGGGGTGAACGGGTGTTACAGTCTGTACACACGTCTGGGGAGAGTGCATTTGAGGGCAGTCCAAGAGCCTTGAGATGGGACATGTCTGCGCGGACATGCGCGAGTGTGAGCGAGGAGGGGAACTGCAGGGCGGGGCACTCACGTTTGTACATCAAAAAGGCCGCTTGTTCGGCAACCATGACCTGTTCTATGGAACACTCGCGGTGTACCTTCGGGATTTAGCCATCATTGGTGAGGCGAGGCTTTGCGGCAACGTGCTATGAGGTCAAGACGTCAAATACGCAAAGTAGCATAGAGGGGGAAGTCACACTGCAGGCACGCGAGGTGCTCAGGCCCTTGTTCCAGCTCGTGTTGGTACTCCAGCTTACGCTTACGGCTATGCCGTGCGGCAAACATGTTCTGCCGCTGCTTAGTCTCAATGGCATCGACGTCAGAAGGCGCAAGGCTGTCGCGGTCAAGGAGCTGGTCCTCCTTATCACCAAACACCTGAGATCGTGACCATTTCTTGGCAAAGACAGCTGAGACCTCCTTGTGAGACGTGGCCGAAGGAGTAACGTGCTCGCGAGTCTGAATAGAGCATCATAGGGAATCAATGTCTCGGGAGTGACATTCCTCCGAGTGCCAGTTGGCTTCTTCTTCCGATGACCAGAGGTGGGATTGGGAGGAGCGACCGAGCGCAATTGTGGCGATGGTCCGAGACATGCGGGGTCAAGAGCAGGAGTGGATGGTGAGGGCATGCGATACATGTCATCAAACTTGAACGAGGGACCTTGAATCCCCTGGGCAGATGGAGCGACACCTGTGGATTTTAAATAATGTGTCGACGGCGGAACCATGCAATGACATCCCACCGGCAAACAAAGGAACATACCAAAGGAGTTGAAGCTATCGGTGTCGATGATCGCAGGGCTCATCGCGCACTTCACCGCACACGCGGAGCATGGCAGTGCCCTCCCGGTCGAGTGTGACAGCGGTGCGCAGCCGTCGCACCATTCTGCATGCGCACGCGTCCGCTCTTCGCCGAGCGCATGTTGGATGTGCGAGATTGTGTGCTCGAGCGTGCGGGGGCGAGAGATCATGTGCTCGAGCGTGTGGGGGCGATGAGCTCCTCGATGAGAAGCCCCAGCCTGGGGCCCGGCTCAGGCCCAATGGGAACATGGGCCGGGCCCTTGGGCTCTTGAGGCCATCAAGGAGGGCCCGGCCTAACTAGGGCTCGGCTTGCGGCCTCAAGGGCTTCGAGCCGGGCCGGGCACATCACTAACTAGGACGCTTCCGCGATGCTGTCACCAAAGTCTGCGTGAGGTTGATCATGAAGTATTGACATCTGCACAGTCCCAGAACACTTCGGTAGGTGTTCGGGATTGGGGTACTTGGAAAATTGAGTACTGGTGTATGGGGGGAATCTTATCATCGACTGCATTCACCATGTCTGTCAGTGCTTCAAGCTTCTACATGTGCGTACTCTCTGGCAGTGCGCAGCCTCATGATCAGACCGTGCTGGTCAACCAGGATGGCCATGCAAGCAGACGTGGGAGTGCTGGCGGCAATGTGACTGACAACCTCTGGATACACTACATGTGATTGTCTCCCATCACAATTGTCGGTCTGCCTACAAGAGACAACTGGATACATGGCCGCATACAGTGGCCGCCGCATCTGCCAATCGCGGCACCTCTCAGCTGGCCCTTAAATCGATCGCAGTCCACGCTCTCCTGCAACATCCTCACAACCATGGTGTCCCTTACTCCTCCCCAGCCCCTGCCTATTTGGTCCCACTCTGCTGAGGATGTGCTCGCCCTTACGAAGGACGCCATAGCATGCAGCCGCGAGCTGCAGGACAAGGTTGCCATGCTTGTGCCCGCTGACTGCAATTTCGCATCTGTGCGTTACCTCTACGAGTCTATTTGCAATCTGATACTCGAGAGCCCTCGCTGTGACAGGTCTTCGTGTGTGAAGTGCCATGCGACTGCCACATCCTCTCACCCACCCTCTAACAGCTCGCGCTCGCATACGCAGAGGCCAAGTTTGAATCTGTAGCGGAATCACTGTCATTTTATCAGAACGTGTCCCTGTCAAAGGAACTGCGCAATGTGTCAAACAACGCAGAAGTCCTAGTGCGTGACTACGGTGTTGAGGCGTCGATGCGCCTAGATGTGTTCCAGGCGAAGCTCGCGGCCGAGAAGAACATCAAAGCATCCGGTGCGAAGCTCAGCACTGAGGAGCAGCGACTCGTAGATAAGATGGTCCTAGACGGAAGGCGTGCTGGCTTGGCATTACCAGAAAAGGAACGCAACGAACTGATGGCGCTGCAGAAGGAGCTCTCACAGGCCTGTCTAGAATTTAGCGTGAGCCTCGTGCCATATGCTCCGCTGCGCGTCCTGACACCTGCAGTAGAAAAACTTCAATGAGGAGAACGTGCGGTGCGATTTCCTAGAAGGAGCAGGAAAGAGGCTGATCTAGCTTGCAGGGCTCCGTTTCGTTCACTCTGGAGGAGCTGAAGGGTGTCCCTGATGACGTGATCTCTGGGTACACAAAGCGCAAGGATGGTGACCGGCAAATGTACGACCTCACGTTTAAGTCGTCTGACTACCTCCCCCTCGTAAGTTGTATGCCCTCGGCTATCTCTGAACTTGGGTGACGTCATACCTGCACAGATCAAGCAGGCGGAGAATCCGGAGACACGGCGGACGGCATATGAGCTGTTTGATGCGCGGTTGAGCATCAATGAGCCAGGATCATCGACCTCCACCGGAAGATAGCAGGGCTGCTCGGATACCTGGGCGGATTACGTCACAGAAGTGAAGATGGTCAAGCATGGCAAGGGTGTCTTTGACGTACGCAAGGACATCTACTGAGGCCCATCCACAGCTGATCTGCGTGTATTACTAGTTCCTTGCAGATTTTGAGCAGAAGCTACGCCCCATCGGGCTAGAGGACCGCACAAAGCTGCTAGCTCTCAAGCAGCAGGAGCATGCGGAGAAGGGTTACCCATTCAACGGTGAGTTCTACATGTGGGATTGGTGGTACTACGACAGACTGTACATCAAGCACACACTGTCGCTCGACGATCAGCGGGTGAAGGAGTTCTTCCCGGTTTTGTTTGTCATTCCTGCCATCCTGGACATCTATCAAAACCTGCTGGGTGTGCGCTTTGTCAAAATTCATGGCAAAACATGGCATCCGGGTATGTTGTCTGGTTGGTTGTAAAAGTGTCATGCTGATGAACTCCGTTCTCTCTAGATGTTCAGCAATTTGCGGCCTGGGAGAAAGATGCCAAGGATGAATCAGGCTTTGTTGGATACTGCTATCTTGACCTCTTTCCCCGTGGTATGTTCCTGTTCTCTTGGTTCTTGTCAATGCATTATAGAACGTCCGTCCACAGCATCCAAATATTCACATGCAGCCGTCTGGGGCCTCTTTTCCGGCTATGAACTGCCGGACGGCAAGCAGAGCTATCCGATTGCCGCAATGGTCGCAGACCTCGCGAAGCCGACACCACAGAAACCTGCGCTCATGGGCCATGATGACATTGTCACATTCTTCCACGAGATGGGGCATGTATTTCATACACTACTCAGCCGAGTGAGGTTCTCGTGTTTCCACGGTACAAAGTGCGCGAGGTGGCTCCTGTACTCAGGGTATTGACTGACATGGGTGATATCAGCATCGTGATGGACTTCGCAGAGGCGCCCTCTCAGATGCTAGAGAATTGGTAAGTGCTGATCTCGTGTCCTGCTGATTCTTGGGCTTGACATAGAAGATCTAGGTGCTTCGAGCCTACGGTGCTCGAGCGCATGCCGAGCCACTATGAGACCAAGGAACCCCATCAACAAGATCATCAAGAGGTATGTTGTCAGCACTATATCTCGTGTTTGTAGCAGCTTAAGCCAACATTGCGTTGCAGCCGAAACATTAATGTCAGGCTCTTCTATCTCCGCCAGGTCTTCATAGCCAGCTTTGACATCAAAGTCCACACTACCAAGGGTATGTACATGCCTCACACTTCTTTCTTTGATCTTGACAATGATCTCCTCAGAACCCGCTGTTTACACCAAGCTATATAATGAACTACGCAAGTCAATATCTCTTGT